CCCAGGGGGTAGACCTGTTCATGGGCCGGGTAGCCTGATGGCCCGACCCGCACCCTGGTCGGGCTTGGTCATGTAATTAGGCCCGTGGGCCTGACCTCAGGTCTAACACAGTAAGCCCGACTGTGTTTCGGGCCGGGCTCGGGATTTGTCAAAAAAGCCCGGCCTGAGCCCGACCCGGCCTGATTCAGCATTATATATTTTCTAAAATACATGTGTATTTTATATATTATATAAAATATATAAATACTATAATATTTATTGAAATATATATATTTATAATTTAATATATACATTTTTTATTCTTTTCTTTATAATTTCTCTCTCTCTATTCAGTCGCTTCAGCATTAGTAACATCATGGGCTAAATTTCGGGCTCGGGCCCAAGTTGTAGGCCCGATGGTTGGGCTGGGCTTGGGCTCGGGCCTTAGAAAAATCTGTTAGTACAGAGTGAAAGCCCGGCCCGACCCATGAACAGGTCTACCAGGGGGACAAGAGAACAATAACTTTGGACCTAGGGTTTTCTCACAAGGGGACTTTCCCTTCTCTCCACTCCCCTACTCTCTTCCCTATCGTCTTCTCTGGACTTAGAGGGACTAGACCGTTCCCAAGTTGCCTGACCACCCCAACCTATAGAAGGTGCTGACTCTGGTGAGAACTTGTTGATACAAAAAGCAATAGAAAGGATGATTCAGGTGGCGTGCCTATCTAGAAATTAGTGGAAAAAAGCTTGGGATTATATTTTTGGGGTGGCAAGGAATTTGCTAAAAGGGTCTTTTGATTGGAATGAAGCAAGGTTTGGGATGGGGACAATTCAGGGCAAGAAGATGCTCTAGTGGATGAAGATTGAGGTTGTGAGTTGAGGCTTTGTCAGTTGAGTTGTTTGTTTGGTAGTGGTCTTAGTTCTAGGGGATTTCTTTTCTTGTTTGGGGTGTTTAGTTGTTCTCTGGTAAAGATTGGTTTTTGTTTGTTTGTGTGCTTTGGGTTGGATTTGGGATGGCTGTTGTCTCTGAAAGGGTCTTTTGATGTGCCTCTTTCTCGGGTGATACCTTATCACCTTTGCTTTGTATTCTTTATATTTTTAATAAATTCTTTTTTTTTCTTATTCTTAAAAGAACAAAAAAGATAAAAGGAGGCTTTCTTGTTTTGTACTGTCATACCTGCCAACTCTGATAGGTTCATTATATGGTGTGCCACAAGAACATCATTTTTTTGTTAAGATGAGCAAGTACTTGGCATACGGAATTGCTTCTCATGTCCAACAGTTAAAGCAATTTTATTGGGAGGCTGCATTACAGATGATCAACATAGGAGAGATCCTTCAAAGGAGACTGGAATTTGGTCTATCTCCACATGTGTGTTTTCTTTGCCTAAGTAGTAGGGACTGGGGAGAGTATTAGGCACTTTCTCTCATCCTGTTAGTGTGCTTCTCAGGTACAGAACCATTCTTTATCTTTTCAGAGTCTTTTGGGCGCTTCCATCAAATATCCTTAGCCTGTTTTCTGATCAGTAATTTGCTATTAGTTGTTAGTAGTTAGTATAAAAATCAATAAGACTATGTTACATAGTCAATTTCATGGAGCTTATGGGAAGAGGAATACAAAACTTTTGAAAACAAGGAACAAAGTGTCCAGAGGCCGATAGAACTTACCATTGGTAACAATCTCTCTTTAGCTGCTGAGCAGTTAGGAATTCAAAAGAATCTCTATGGATGTAACTACAAAGGGGCTGGAAGATAGTGGTTGGGTATTCATTAAGAAGATAAGTGATTGTTGAATGGAAGGCACCTGAGAATGGAAGAGAAACTAAATTGTAGGTGCAGTGGTAAGGTGATGGAGTTTGGTCAAGTCTTTGAAGGTCTGGAGAGGACGGCAGGGAAGAGAGAATATGAGGCCAGATATTGGTTGTAGTGGACAGTGGGAGAAGAGTGTAGGAGTGAGAGAGAGAGAGAGAGAGAGAGAGAGAGAGAGAGAGGGAGGGAGACCTCTGAGATGCCCTAGGTCAGGGTTACATTGGTATTATCTGACGTGGGGGAGAGTTATTCCCCTTTTTATAGAGAGGACCCCAAGGCTAAGGAGAAGGATCTAAAAGGAGACCTTTCCTATTAGGAAAGGGGATCTTTATGTAATCTATTAAGGGGACACCATTGGGATTTCGCCACGTGTCTAGTGAGATCCTTCAAAGACAAAGTTTCATTTCTCTCAAGGATTCTCACATGGCACGTGTAGGCTACGTCCCCTTATGGGTTTCCCAATGGTCACGTGTTAAAGGACTATATCTGACTGGCAATGTTATCGCAAGTCTCAGGCTACGTTCATTGTTCATCGTGGGTCCCAAGAGATGTTTTATGCTCATCGCAAGTCTTGGATGGCCTTTCGTGTTTAATGCAGATCCCCAATAGCTTTTAAGCTCATTGCAATTTCTGCGATGGATATTAAGCTCATCGCAAGTTTGCGATGGTTGTTAAGCTCAGGCGACGCCCATTGTTCTCCGTGGGTCCCAAGAGATGTTTTATGCTCATCGCAAGTCTTGGATGGCCTTTCATGTTTATTGCAGATCCCGGGTAGCTTTTAAGCTCATCGCAATTTCTGCTATGGATATTAAGCTCATCACAAGTTTGTGATGGTTGTTAATCTCATTTCGGGTATAGGTGGAACAGTCAGAGATGACAATGGACACATTGTTTGAAGTTTCTTGGGACCAGCTTGATTTGGAAACTCCTTGAAGTCATGAGCAGTGACTGCAGTTCAAGGGCTAAATTTTTCTATAGGAATACAAATTGAGGGAGATTGCCAAGTTGTAATAAATTGGCTAAAATCAGGGGAAGTATCTTGGTTTTACCTTTTTTGGTTAGAAATTTAAGTGAAGCCAAATTGATAAAAAAAAAAAATTTAAGTGACGCCAAGAATTTCTTGAATTGCTCATTCAGATTGACCAGAGAAGCAAACAGTTTGGCAGATGCTCTAGTTAGGGCAGGGGTTTAATGAACAGTTGTGTTGAGGTGAACAGAGCCAGGCAAATCCATGTAACAGAAAACAGTAGTTAACATGTGTGTGTGTGTGTGTGTATTTGCTAGGTAATGCTTCAATTTATTCATTTGTGTAAAATATATACAAAGGGGTTGTGCCAAGCACTGCAAATTGTACCAGTATCTTACCCTTTCACATTACATTTATAAGTGTGACAACCCCGTAATGATCATCATCATCCAAGCCTAATCCCAACTATATGGGCTTGCTTCCTTGGAATCTTTTTTGCCAATCTGTTCTGTTTAATGTCATATTATTGTCACTTAAATCCTTTCTCACCACTTCTATCCATGTCCTTTTTGGTCTACCCCTTATGGGTGCTGTTAATGGTCTTCTATGCACGTGAGCAAACCATCTTAGTCTACTTTCTTTCATTTTATCATCCATTGGAGCTACTCCTAGGTTACTTCGAATGACTTCATTTCTGATCCTATCCTTTCTAGTTTTTCCACCTGAAAAGATAGGATCAGAAATGAAGTGTGGCAACCCCATCCCTTGATTTATGTTTCCCCAAAAAAAGCTGTTTCTTTTCACTCCTTGTCTGGCCATTTGCATTTGCCACATTGTTTGATGATCTCTTCACCCTCTCAGCTGATGCCCTTAACTCCTTTCATTCACTCTGCTCAATCCCTTCAAAGTCTCTAAGGATTAGAGCTCATGAGACGATCATTCCCTGATTGGAATTGGAACCAATCATGGACTGCTCTTCACATCTCTTCCTTTTAAAAATTCTATTACATCTTTCTTTCCATTGACAGCAACAAATTGCAAAAGGAGTTCAACTCTATAAGATTCACCCTCTGCTACTAAAAGATCTCGCTGGCCATAAGTCCACTGAACCCACAAGGTCACCAGGGATGACCCAATTACAGTAGAACAGTTTCACAAAGTGCTACCACACCCTGGTAGAAAATCTAGATTGAACAAGTTGATGCTGCACCATCTCCAGAGACTAATCGCATAACACATTCATCTGTCATAACTTTTTCCCTTTCAAACAGCAAATCTATGAGTTCTGTGTTATTTTAAAGAAATACCTGCATCATTGTGGGATTAATGAATCTAGTCATACATGGTTCATGGTCATGTCAGTACTCATGTGACTAAACCAATATTTTCTAGCTGCTTATTGTGGAATATATTATAATCTAATAGTATGGCAACAGCCTGCATTTTGATGTTGCTAGTGAAAGACACTGCTTTAATGATGCCTACCAGATTTCCGTGCTAAACAAAGTGAAACCTTCCTCATTGCTCACCAGTAGCCCTCAACTTCTTCTTGGTTTAAGGATTTTGACAAGTTGGGCTCTGCTCAACCTCCCTTTTGCACTCTGTTATCTTTTTCTGCATCTCCTTAGCTTCCACAAAGAGAATTTACCATCAAAGCAGGCGCTAACATTTGTATGGGGTAAGGCTAATAGGATATGGAGAAGGGAAATAAAAACTTCACCCAGACACCCATTCTACCAGAAGCTAGATCCACCTAAGCCAGACTGCAAATTGAAACTTGGATGACCTAGGTCTTCAAGATGAAGCCTTGCCTATTCCTGATATTCTTCTATTACTTTAAGATACTTTTCCACAATCTTGAACAGGATTTAAAGTCCTTTTAAATTTATATCTAGAGGGGAGATAAAAGTCCAAGGAGCCATTTGATTATGGATGAAGTGACTGAACTGAATGACTTGTTACTTTGTCCTTTTAAGGTATAGAAGTCATAATGGAATATTATTATTTATGGTACAGGAATCATCAAAACATGCCATTCAGCAATTAATTTCTTTCTTGGGGCCTATCCATTTGCCTTTTCTCGGTCTTGCAAACATGGCTGAATTGGTTGGATTGAATTGCCTATCCATTTGCCTTTTCTCGGTCTTGCAAACAAATCAAGTATAAACGTTTAGTGAATAAATGTCCACGGTTCCAAACACATACTACAAGTAGTTGATTTGGAGTGATGGTTGTGTTCTTGCAGGATCATTCTTGAAACCGAAGGAAGTACAATTGCAAGCAAAGTTTCATCCAATGGTCTGGAATCTGCAACATCATTATCTGAACAGGTAAAGCAATTCTTTTTAACCAATGAATGGAGAATAGAAAAGATAAAAACTACAATAAACAGAATAAAAGATCAAAAGATTCTCCCATCTTTCCTGAATCTCCTTCAAATTCTCTAACCAACTTTTTTTTCTCGCAGACAATAACCCAAGCACTAGCTACTGCACGGGAACATTTAACAAGATCCCTTCTTGGATGATGGCACATAAGCAGAGAAAGTTTCATCATTTCCTTTTCTTCATTCTTGGTGGGACGGAGGTGGTGATAGAGTAATACTTTTCCAAGTGGCCTTTTCCCTCTCTTTTACCTTTTCTTTGGTAGAAAATCAGCCAGACTTGTGGGCTGAACCTGAGACCTTTCAAACGAGTTGGCGAATTTTTTTTTTCTTAATGGCGCTTCTGTTCCTGTATGAATGTTTACAGTCAAAATTTTTGATTACATTTTACAGTCAACCAACAAACCATGAATTGTTTTTTTTTAGTGGTAGAAACAAACCATGAGTTGTTTTTTTAGTGGTAAAAACAAACCATGAGTGATGAGTGATGACTGATGAATTCAAGTGGCGCTATACTAGGCCGTGACGTGGAGTATTGTATTATAATAATAATAATAATAATAATAATAATAATAATAATAATAATAACAATAACAATAACAATATTATTATTATTTATTAAACATTATTTTTTTATATTTTATTAATTATTAATATTTAATAATTATTTTTTATTAAGCATGACTAATTATTATTTATTTTTATGAAATAATAAATTTTAATTATTTCATTAATTTTTAAAATTTATTTTATTTTTATACGTGTAAGTTATTAATAGTTAATTATTTTAATATTTTTGTAGTTAATATTTATTTTTCTAATTTTAATCGTTTCATTTATTAATTAGTAATTATTATTAATTTACTATTTTTTTGTATTTTTTCAATGTTATTTTGAGGTTGAAAATGATTTTTTATGAAATAATGCAAATTGAACTCAACATTTACAAATAATATGGGTAAAATAGTAAAATCAATAATTTCAGATGGTAAAGGGTTGATCTAACACAAACAAACTTATGAATTCAGAGCCTCTAAAAAGTAGAAAAGCATTTATGCCTCTTTTCAGATTTCAAACACTTAATATCTTTTTAACTTTTCATATCTGAATTTCAGATTTATCAAACGTCACCTTAATCAAAATCCAATTTGAAAATAAAAAACCAGACCAATCGTTGTCTATTATAATGCGATCTGATTCGACTCCTTGTGCAAGACATGACTTTAATTAGGGACGGTAATTTTTCCAGTAGGGATCTTTCTCTTCTCTGCCCCAAATTGGGTGGATTTTCTTTGATTTCAAACAAGGATGGACAATTATTTTTGCTCCGAATTAGGGACAGAGGAGATAGACTTTGCATATAATTCTTTCATTCCAATGATAAATTATTAAAATACTAGTAATGAAGCACATGGGTTGCATGTGAGAAAATTTTCTTCATATTAATTACTTCAATTTTATAAATATCATAATTAAGATAGAAATTGAAAATTAACAAAAGTAATAATATGATTAAAAATAAACTTAAATGCTTTTAGCGAATAACATTTATTATTATTAAATTTTGTATTGCATCTTTATCATAAATAAAAACAATTTTTATTTTAATAGTTATAATATGATGAATATAAAACATTAGAAATGTTCTCAAATGTTTTTGACAATTCTGTACATTTTTTTTTGTGTTCTATCTTTTTTTTAAATATTTATTATTCAATTATAACATGGGTTTCTTTGAAAAGTTGGATCATTGACCCACCATCTAGATAAGAAAATAGTTTTGCTTTTGGATTAGTTTTAAATTAGGGAAAATTATAGTCGGAATCGACTATACATTTAAAATTAGGCTACAAGTTGGTCTATAAACCAACAAAACTCTAATAACTAGCTCTACATTTCAATTTATAAAAACCCTCGCCATGTCATCATAGGCTTATGTTATTGTTGCCAACATGGGACTCTTAATCCATGTTAGACACAACAAAAAGCTTATCCCTCACACTCTCTCACTCTCACAGTCATCTTCTGCTCAACGACTATGCAATTTGAAAATAAATAAAAATGATTTTTGGTTTCTGTATTTACGTTCTTTATATCAATTTCTCTCATTGTCTCTCTCTCTACCTATGTTCTCCCTCAATCTCTCTCATTCTCATTCTCCGTCGATCTCTCCTCCCTTAATTTCTATCGCTCTCCCTCAGTTTCTCTCTTGCTCCCTTTTTCGTTTTTCTTTATTTTACACACTTATATGGTATTAATCAAGTCGTATAAAAGAACATGAAACCAACTTGGTATGGTTAAAAAATCATTACACAAATTTGATAAAAATTCATAAGAAACTCTTGGCTATGAAATTTACACTAATTGGAGAAGGATAGATATTGGCAGAGGAGTTTTGACCAAGAGGGAGAGTGAGGGAGAAGAATGAGAGAGATTGAGAGAGAACGATAGAGAGAGAAAGAGAGAGAGGTTTTGATTTGGCTACATACCGAAGCCGAGAGAGTTTGAGAGATAGAGGGAGCGGCGGGAGACTGAGAGGTGATTGTGAGAGTGAGAGAAGGGAGGGAGATCGAGAGATAGAGGTAGTGGGAGAGAAACTAAAAACCTAATTTCGGTATAGGCTTTTTGTTGTGTCCAACATGGACTAAGAGTCTCATGTTTGCAACATCCATATATAAGCCTCCGATGACATGGCATGGGCTTTTATAATTTGTAATGTATAATTGATTATAAGAGTTTTGTTGGTTTTTGGACCAACTTGCAACCTAATTTTAAATGTACAACCGACTTTGACTATAATTTTTTCCTTTAAATTATATATTTCATTTACATTATATAAAATATTTTTTACGTATCACACTTAATTTTTGTTTGTATATGGTATTATTTGACTCAAACCACTAACCCACCATCTAAAAAGAAATAGTTTGATTTCCAAGTTGACACTAAATTTTGTATTAAATTTATATAATTTTTTAAATGATTTCTTATGTATTAAACTTCTTTTTGTTCAATATAATGAATGCATAATATTAGAGATGTACCTGATATTTTATTTTTTATTAATATATAACATTAGATATGCGCCCAAAATTTTCTCTCTCTCTCTCTGTCTCTCTCTTTTTGTGATACTTTGTATTTTCTATTTTTAAAAATTTTATTATTTGACTATGACATCATTTCATTTCTAGGTAGATTTTAAATTTGGCATTCCATTTTCATCATTAATAAAAATACTTCTTACATTTCATAGTTATTTATTTTAAATTTTTATTATTTAATTATGGCATTATTTACTAATCCATTTAACCCCAAATGGTTGAATTGCTTGGCCACCACCGAGAGGGAAGAAAATGGTTTTGTTTTCAAATTAATTTTCAAAATATTTACTTTTATACTATTAAAATTAATATTATGGATTTAGTTACAAGATTTTAATGATGAGAAAAATATATCTCAAATATAGGATTTAATGAGAGAGAATAGGAAAAAATTTTAATTCCAATTGGTTTTAAATTTTACATTCAATTCCATCATTAATAAAAACACTTCTTATTTATCATACTTATTATTGTTTAATATGTATGTTAAAAATGTTTTCAATTTTTTTAATTTCTATTTTTTCATATCTATTTTTTTTTTCCATTTTATTATTTAAATGTGGCAACATGGATTGACCCATGTGACACAAAATGATTTAATTTCTTACTACCACCTAGATGAAGACACTAATTTTGTTAGGCATATTTTAAAATTATAAGCTTTTATGTTATTTGAATTATTAATTTATTAAGTATAGATTTAATTAATAGAACTTAATGATGAGAATAAACAAAATGACTTAAAATTTATTAAGTATGGATTCAATGAATATGAGTGCAAGTTAATAACTTAAATGTTGGGTTTAATGAGAGAGAATTGAAAGCATTGAATATCTTAAAATTACCTCTTTTCAACTCATTTAACATCAAGAACCAATTACCCTATTTGCCCTCATTTTTTGTCAATAAATTTAAATATAAAGGGGTAAATTTTGTCCTTAAAAAATTCCAAAAATATTATTGAGTTCATTCGTACTTTTTAAAGTAGTATATGATGTGTGGAGTCGCCAACTAATTTTTTTTTGGAAATGGGAATTTAAGAAAACCCAGGGTTTTTACAAGAAAAACATTTTGTTTTCTTGGTGACTCGTAACCCAATGGAGATGAGACTCTTAGGGTTCGGGGACCAAGGTGCGGTGTGGGAAGGTGTTAGGCAGCCCACACATGCCCAATTAAACTGGCCTTTACTTTGCCAATATTCCAAGGAAAATTTTATAAGTTTTGGGCATTAAAAAAAAAAGGAAAATTTCTTTCGAGCAATAATTCAACTTAACAAACATAACACAAGTAAGAGAAAAAAAAAAATCTGATCTAACACGAGAGAGATTTATTCATAACAAATAAGTAAAGAAACTATGTGAAAGTAGTCAAGAATTCAAGAATCAAGTACTTGCAAAAAGAAAATTCACAATGGAAATACATTATTGGTTAGAAAACTGGATAACTAGCAAACTAGAAGCACAATGATTATGCGAAATCTCTAAATGCAACCTTGAGAATGTTGACTGTAAAATCCTAAGCAATTTTACTAAGGAGATTTCTTAATTTGTATGCTGAGATAAAAAAAAAATGAGGGCCGAATTGATTATCTAGGATATGTACTAAGCAAATCATCTAATCTAGAAACCTAGATGTGCATTAAAAAAGACAACACTATCGGTTAAACTTATGAGTAATTGGGAGGGTGCAAGCAAATCAATTAACCACACTATCTTGTATTCTTGTACATGCTGACGTCAAGATGGCACCAAAAACATACTAATGATAATATCACTCACTCTAGGGGTTAAAGCAAGGAAATGAAAGTCTAACGGTGGGCTTAATAATCTATTGATGAAACCAAACAACACTGATTAAAAAAATGACTCGCTGATATCTAATTAAACAAATTAATAACTATCAAAGAAATCTGAGTGGCACTAATCAAATTTCTTGTACTAACCAAACTAGTGAATGAGACGATGCAGAAAATTAGACAGAATTGTAACGACTATTTATTGAAAACAACGAGAGAGAATCTAGCAATGTAAAGTTTGTTTTCGGTTGGCTGGAAAGCCAACCCTACTTGACTACTTAACAAGAAAAGGAAAAATAAAAGCAGATCCTACCTAACTACTGAAAAAAAAAAAACTGATCCTAACTAGCTTCTAAACGTTAACAGAAAAGAGAAAGAAAAAAAAAAAAAAAAAACTAAGTGGAATCGGCAAGTATACTGGTGCATTCCCATCACCGTCTTTGGAGTATGGTGATCTAAACTTCTATCATCAAACGTCCACCATGCAGCTAATGCCTTGGAGTCTCCCCTCATGCCTTTTGCTCAATTGATTACTAGTCTAGGGGAGTCTAGGGAGAGGTA